AGGAGCACCGTTCAGGCTCAATCTAGTCAAAAGTGCTGTAATGGATGAAAAGCCCTGCACAAACCAGCGATAATATCCTGCTAACCCCAGGAAACTCCTGATTTCAGTCACTGAAGTGGGACGTGGCCAACTCTGAACTGCCTCAATCTTCTTGGAATCCACTTTAATACTCTCTATTCCTCGCTTCAAGTTTTGCAAAACGTATAATTTATCTGTAACAAGTTTCTACAATACTATAATACTCATGTAAGTTTATCTATAACATCCAATTTGCATGTAATTATAATTACTAGATTTTAAAAGATTGGACAATGATCCCTGTCGAAAGAATCTATTGGTCATTTCAAGTTTTGTTAAATGTACAATTTATCTATAAACAAGTGTATGACTCTATAATACAATAATACTCCTGTGTTTATCTATAAAATTCAATTTGCATTTAATTATAATGACTAGATTTTAAAATTAGATTGGACAATGGTCCTTGTTGAAAGAATCTCTTGGCCATTTCAAGTTTTTCTAAATGTACAATTTATGTATAAGCAAGTACATGACTATAATACAACTAAGCTCCTATGAGTTTAGCTACTCATAGCATTCAACTTGCATGTTAAAATGACTAGATTTTAAGAGATTGGACAATGGTCCTTGTTGCAAGAATCTACTCGTCACTTCTAGTTTTGTAAAATGTACAATTTACTTATATATAATATGATATATATGTGCCACATAATTAATAGTGTTCCCTCTATCCCAAACTATGTGGCACCGTTCGAATTTCAAGAGTCAAACAGGGTTTTCTTTGACCATAATTTTTTATGTCTTTTAAATATTTTAATTATTAATTATTATGATTTATACCCCCCTTCGTCTCAATTTATGTAACAGTCTCTCCTTTTTAGTCAATCCAATAAAGAATGTCATCTGTACTTATTTAAAAATAATTTATCTTTAAACATAACTTTCAAAAATCTTCCTATCTTTCTTAAACTTAATACTGATCGAGTCAAACATCATCACATAAATTTAAGCGAAGGGAACAATACATTTTATATACTCAATTTTCAAATACATAGTAAATTTTATTACAAAAAACTTAAAATTCCATGTCTCAATTTGTCTGGCAAAAAATAAATGACGACGAGTACATTCTTGTCAGAAGCTTCAGTTCCTCCAAGTAATAGCTTAACTTTTCTTCACGACTCTCCTTTAAAGATGAATCAATTGTGTGTACATTTATTGATGACAATTTTTCTATTTACATAGACTACAAGAGTGGTAAGAGTCCTACAAATGAATGTGATAGAAACAACTTCCTATACATTCAAAATACGGATAAGAACATATGGATAAAGATATATATACTAATATTATTTGGTATTATCCTTGTTTTTAGATATTCTGTTATTATGCCCCCTCAAGTTAGGAGTGGTGTCAACTACTCCTAGCTTGTTAAGATGTTGTTGGAAAGGAGCCTTTGCAAGAGCTTTAGTGAGGCTGTCTGCAAGTTGGTCAGCTGAGTGAACATGTACAACTTGAAGCTGCTTCTACTGAACTTGATCGCGAACAAAATGGAAATCAATTGCAATATGTTTCATTCGACTATGAAAAATGGGGTTCTGACATAGATATGTTGTGCCAATATTGTCACAATACACTGTTAGTGGTCGGGACACTAAACTTTGAAGTTCATATAGGAGATTTGTTACCCAGTTCGCCTCTGCAACAGCAGTAGCAACAGCCCGATCGATACTCTGCTTCTGTTGAGGAACGAGCAACAGTGAGTTGCTTTTAGAAGACCAACTGATAGGATTTCCACCAAGATAAAGAATATAACCAGAGGTTGAAGTTCGATCATGGATGTCGCCTGCCCAGTCAACATCAGAATAAATATGAAGTTCTGGTGTGAACGAGCGGCAAAGAAGGAGACCATACAACATTGTGTGTTTAAGGTACCGAAAGACTCGTTTAACTGCTTGCCAATGAGTAGTAGAAGGGCTGTGCATATATTGAGAAAGCTTGTTGACTGCGAAAGAGATGTCTGGTCGAGTAAATGATAGATATTGAAGCTTGCCAAGAACCTGACGATATTGGGTGGCATCCGTAGGGGGTGTGCCATGATTCAGTGATAAGGTGACTGATGTGCTCATTGGAGTTTGGACACCTTTGCAATCAAACATATCCCATTTGCGAAGAAGATCACAAATATATTTAGATTGAGAAAGGATGAGACCATCCTTGTGAGGAATCACTTCAACACCGAGAAAGTAGTTGAGATAACCAAGGTCTTTTAAGGAGAATCGGTTGGCCAAAGCTGACAAGGCATGATTGAGCATGTCGTTGTTATTGCCAGTAATCACTATGTCGTCGACATAAACTAACAGATACAGAATAATACCATTTTGGGAGTACACAAAAAGGGATTGATCAGATTGAGTGCGAGAGAAGCCAAAACTTTGGAGGAATTCCCGTAGTTCCGTATACCATGCACGTGGGGTTTGTTTAAGTCCATAGCTAGCCTTTTTTAATCGACATACATGTCTGGGAAAATCAGGATGTTCAAATCCTGGGGGTTGTGACATATAAACTTCATCATCAAGTGTTCCTTGCAAGAATGCATTGTTGACGTCTAATTGGTGTAATGGCCATCCCTTGTTTATTGCAATTGACAAAACCAGGCGAACTGTTGTTGGTTTAACAACAAGACTGAATGTAGAATGGTAATCAATACCTGGTCGTTGGGTGAAGCCTTTTGCAACAAGGCGAGCCTTGAACCGATCAATCGTCCCATCCACTTTGTATTTTATCCGAAAGAGCCATTTGTACCACACTACATTGTGTGATGATTGGAAAGGAACTAAGTCCCATGTTTGGTTCTTGAGAAGTGCTTGAAACTCATCACTCATGGAAGCACGCCACATTGGGTGTTTTTGTGCTTGTTTGCAAGTGCTGGGTGGCAGAATCTCTGATGAAGTAGCTAAGTAGTCCATAATTATTTTCGGTTTAAAAATGTTATTCTATGAACGAGTGATTACGTGAGATAGTGGGGGAGTCATAGATGGGTTTTTGTTAGTATGATTGGAAGCAAGATGTTCGGCAGATGGAGAAGATTCAGAGACAAAATTTTCTGATGAAGCAGATGTTGTATGAGGGGAGAGGGAGGAAGATTCAGATAAACACAAGGTAGAAGACTTACATGCAGTAGAGGATTCTGACACACGTGAGTCCTGGTTGTTTTGCTGAGAGGAAGGATCTGTAAGAGTAGCATCCACCACGGCTGGAACACTATTTGTTGTGACACTTTTATAGGTATGGGTGGTGGATTAGGAAAAAGGATCTTCTGTTGAAATGGACTGACTTGGCGAGACTGCTTTAGTGGTGATAAGATCATGCCACTCAATGTTTGGCTTATTATGTTTAACTGATGAAAACATACTTTGAAAGGAAAAAATGTCTTCATAAAATTTGACATGGCGCGACAAATAAACTTTGGAAGAAATTGGGTCAAAACATTGATAACAGTAATGCTTGGAGGAGAATCCGACATACCGCAGGGGGGTGGATCTTGGTTCCAATTTATTTTTTGCATATGGTTTAAGCCATGGATAACAGAGGGAACCAAATGTGCGAATGGTGAGGTAGTTTGGTTGAGTGCCAAAAATGCATTGATAAAGAGACTTATTTTGCAGAATGGTCGTCGGAAGGCGATTTATTAAATAGATCGCATCTTGACAGGCAAAAGTCCATAGATTTGAGGGTAGAGATGTTTGGTGAAGTAAGGTACAAGCGGTTTCAATAATGCGGCGATGACGTCGTTCAGTAAATGCTACTCTTTGGGGTGTATATGGGGGAAAATAAATGTTGGATTCCATGTGCATGTAGAAAGGTTTGAAGACCTTCATACTCACCCCCTCCATCTGAGTATATTGTTTTTATCTTTTGATTAAAGTGATTTTCAACGAGTGATTTGAAAGTGGAGAAAATGGGAGTAACCTCATGTTTAAATTTGAAAGAGTAGAGCCACGTATACTTGGTATAGTGATCGACAAAGATAATGTAATATAACTTCTTATCAAGAGAAAGAATGGGTGATGGACCCTAAACATCAGTAAAAATAATTTCTAGTGGATGAGAACTCTTCAAAGAAATATGACCAAATGGGAGTCAATGGCTCTTATTACAATTGCAAAATTGAAAATTAGGATTTCCTAAGCAAGGTAGAGAATGACGTTTTAAAATATCTTGAAGGACTCTAAAATGTGGGTGACCAAGTCGTTGGTGCCATCGGTAATAGTTGGGCTTTGTTGTGGCAGTAAGGGCAGATGGTGGTTGATATCTTGATGTTGGCCACTCATATAGATCATTCCTATTCTGGCCTCAAACCAATGGTGTCCCCGTGTTCAGCTCCTTAACAACAAAGAAAGATGGGGAAAATTCAATAGATGTACGATTTTGATTACAGAACTTAGAAACTAAAATGAGATTTCGTTTAATATGAGGTGCACAAAGAATATTATGGAGATAAAAGTCTTTAGTGGGAGTGAAAAGAGTAGATGAGCCAGTGTAAGTAATTGGGATACCGTTACCATCACCCATGCAGATTTCTCAGTGCCAGTGTAGTCAAGCGGTGACATCAAATTGTGTGAATCAGCAGTGATGTCATGGGAGGCTCCAGTGTCAAGAACCCATGGGTTATTATTTTGTTGGCCTTGGCGTGTAGCAAGAAGAGCCTTGGCTTCATTGTGGTTGTGAGAACACGAACGACAGACATTGGAAGTGTGGCCATATTTTCCTCAAAGCTGACATTGAACATGTCCATGTGGGTTTCTTCGGAAGTTTTGTCACCAATAGGATGGCCGAGATACAGATACTTGATTCATACCAAATGGATGACCATTGTAGGGCTGTTGTAAACGATTGTTCATATGTTGTGCTTATGGCTGCTGGTTATTCCATCACTTGTTACTGTTGCGATCTGAGGTATGGTTGTTTGAACCCTTCTATGCAACATTAGCTGTGATGGAAAGGGTATTCTTTTTGACCTCCTCGTGTTTAAGGAATAATTCATGATCTGAAAGTTTGTCAAACAATTCTTCATATGAAATGGGTGTGTCTCGAGCACGGATAGCAACGCTTATCTCACGATAGTCGGGGCCTAAGCCGCTGAGTATTTTGACTACCAGTTCAGCATTACTGATTGCTGCACCAGCAGTTGCAAGTTCATCAGCTAGTGATCGAATTTTCCGAAGATTGTCCGATACTGATTTGGAGTCCCTTGTCGTCTTGGCCAACAAATCGCGGAGACTGTATATTCGGGTTTGGGACTTATTTGCATAAGTCGTGTAAAGCATTTCCCATGCTTGTTGAGATGTTTCAGCAGCAGCTATAGAAGGTGCAATGGTTGCGTCAACAGATTCCATTAGAGCATTTTGGATGAGACTATCTTGGCGGAACCAAAGTCTATATTCTGGATTGGCTATTTCTTTGTTGTCTTTGGTTATCTTTGGGTGGAGAGGTGCTGGTGTCATCAAGAAATGACATCAGATCATGTCCACACATAAGTGTGAAAAATTGGGCTTTTCCATGTGGTAAAATTAGTACTGCCAGATAGTTTTATGGAAAGCTGAGAGGAAGGGTGAAATTGGACAACTTGGGTAATATTGGAGGGGAACATGTCAACTGAGTTTGTGGTGGATATAGTAGTTGAGCTTTCAGAGTTAACCATGGCTGGAATTAAGGATCTAAATTCTCGTTAGAGTAGGGGCTTCTGATACCATAAAGATGAAGCAATTGTGTGTACATTTATTGATGGCAATTTTTCTATTTATATAGACTACAACAGTGGTAAGAGTCCTACAAATGAATGAGATAGAAACAACTTCCTATACATTCAAAATACAGATAACAACAGATGGATAAAGATATATATACTAATATTATTTGGTGTTATCCCTTGTTTTCAGATATTCTGTTATTATCCTTGACATAAAAAGAAAATCAGAATGTAATGACAAAGAGAGTTCAAAAGTTACTTTAGGTCATAGATTCAAATCTAGCTATAATGTCTTAGCATTTTTTTTTGAATCCCCTTATATAAATTCATGACTTCATCACTGATTACTAGATGCTCACAAGAGGAGATCGGATTCGGGCATACACCGGCCAAGCCCAACTATACATACATAATAACTGAGAAAGACGGATCCAGTATGTTAAGTTTATGGGTTCCTACAAAAATCTCAAATTAATATACTATAATAACTGGGTTAATGGACTGGGTTCCAAGCTAAATATTCTTATAAATTTAATGAATTTTTCAATATAAATACAGGATCTAGACAAAAATTACTGGGTTCACGGGAACCCATAACTAATACACTAGATCCACCCCTGATAGCCGAGTGTTCTGGTTCTTTGTGAGTTATAACACATCTATTCCGTTGCTATGAACTCCACCATACTTTCCAACTAGGGGGAAGAATATATGCATATTCAAAATTTAAGTTTTATAGGTCTACTTTTAAAGGTTTTTAGTATTTAATAACTCATTATATATTTACAATTAAGGATTTGTATTTACTATTTATTAGCATTTTGGTATATTTTTACACATAAACTTACACACTACATTGAAAATACTGAATTTAAATGAACTGGATACTTGAAGGCTACATCCGTGTCACGACCCAAAAATCACAAGTCGTGATGGCACCTAATTCAACCCGCTAAGTAAGACAACTAACAGAAAATACAACTCAATTGAGATTATAAGAGAATAGAAAATAGATAACTGAATATTTATAAATTTACCCAAGACCTGGTAGTAAGAACCACGAGTTTCTAAGATTTGGAATTTCAAAACTGATATAAATAAATACACATTCTGTTTGAAGGTTACTAAACATATTAGCAATAACCTAAGCCACCAAGGAAAAGTGGCAGCTACATCCAAACACGCGAACATCTTCCGAACCAGCACCCGACGTCACTAGCAGCTTCGATCCAAAATCTGCACGCAATGTGCAGTAGTGCAGTATCAGTACAACCGACCCTATATACTGGTAAGTATTTTGTCTCACTTCGTCGAAGTAGTGACAAGTCTTTTAATTAAAAGATGATTATTGTTATAACCTGTACATTAGATTAGCAGTAAAGCAGTTCAAAGCATAACAAATAAAGGTATTATATAAAACTCGGCGAGACAGTCAACAATTACTAAAAGGAACCACAATAGAAGATTTACGATCTTTCCTAGTATGAGAAGTATATCCAAAATATCAAATCACTAGGCACGGTAACACCCTTCGTGCTTTTATCTCATCCTCACCATGTATAAATAAATTTATGTACAATTCAATTGGCACGACAACAGCCTTCGTGCGTTCAACTTATCCTTCCAAATAAACGTATAACAGAACCAACCAGATGACAGGAACACAATAATAGGAATTACAAAGTAAGGAAATACACAAGTAACAACAATGGACCAGGATATACATGTGGACAACAGTAAAGGGCTAAACGGAAAGCACGTGAGTAATAACAACAATTGAAAAGAAAAAGGGTATCAATGTCAATTAACTAGTATATTGGAGGCCTAAGTACAAATATGACAAATAAGAAGGAAACACATGATCTTTACAAGTTAACAAGGGCATGAATGACTGGCATAAGGGAATGATTAAATTAGGTTGCAACATAATAGGTATGACATGAGTATAATGTAGGAAATAGGCATGGCATATGCAAGTTAAGCAATTAAAAGACATAGACAACACAACAACAATTGAGATAGAGGTCAAGTATGGGACTATAACAACTTATCACTCAGAATATTTAATTGCGACAATAACAACTCAAGATAAGGGCACAAACGTATACACGGAAAACAGATATCACATCATAATGCATGTCCCTCATCCTTACCTGCACGGAAACACCTTCGTGCCATGACCTCACAATAACATACAAGCATAACAATATAAATGAAATGACACGACATCGCCCTTCGTGCTTTTACTATCAAATGATATGGCACGGCATCACCCTTCGTGCTTTTACTCTCAATAATATGGCACGGCATCACCATTCATACTTTTACTCTCAATAGTATGGCACGACATCACCCTTCGTGCTTTTACGCTCAATAATGTAGCACGACATCACCCTTCGTGCTTTACACTCTCCCTTACATAATAATGTATAAGCAATGGCATAGAATCACCCTTCGTGCATTACACTCTTCCTTACCAATCATATGTATAATAATGACAAACAAGGAAGGAAGCATAAATGACATCAAGGAGAGTGTTTTAACGGATATTCCAAACAATTCCCAATCACAAACTTCCAAGTCAACAATGATTCAACAACCTTCAAGAACTGTATTATTCAAATACTTCCAAATCTCACAAATGATCCACAATACAATTATATAGTCTAGTATCTCAAGAATATCGACGTAGTAATGTAGTAATGATTTCGCATGGAGATAACCGAATTAGACACATCAATGTATTCTCAGAATTCCTGTCAATTTTGATAAAGTTATAATAAGCTAAGTCTTGATTTCTATCATTTAATATCATGTTCTTGGTATCTAATAGTCAAGTAAGGTATGAAGCAAGAGAAATAATTTTAATTAATAAAGCTATGGTTTTTATTCAATTTCTAAAAAGTCAACAAAACTCAAACCCGCGGCTCACCCGGTCAAAACCCGGGTCCAAAGGTAGGTCTTGACTACTCATAGCCCCACGAGTTCACATATGTATTTTATTTTCAAATCCGAGTCTTATTCGACTCTAAAATCTCAAATTTTCATTTTTCAAAACTTTGACAAAATCCCCAAATTTTTGCATAGTTTTCCCAACAATTTGATGTTAAATCTTGTATAAAATCATGAAATATAGTTGGAAATTGATTAAAGAAACTTACCCAATTATTTGGCATGAAAATCCCCTCTCAAAATTGCCTCACCTCGAAGCTAGGTTTCAAAAATATGAAAAAAGAAGTAAAAACTCGGAATTCTCAGCACTTAACAGGCTGCAGATGTCGCATTTGCAAATGAACAGTATTTTCGCAATTTCCATAAATGGTTGCCAATTGCGGATGAACATCATTTGAACAATTGCCATAAAAGCTTCACAATTGCGAATGAACAGTATTTTCGCAATTGCCATAAAAGGTTCGCAATTGCGAATGAATAGTGTCGCACCAGAAACTAGCAAAACCCAAACTTCTCCAAAATAATCTGAAACCACCCCGAAACTCATCCGGAACCTCCCAGACACAAACCGTATATGAATTTCAATCATAAAATACGCTACGGACCTACTCACGCACTCAAAATACTTAAAAGAGAACGTCTTAACCCGATATTAACCATGGTCAAACTCCCAAATTTCTTAACTTTACTAGTCTCTCAACCAATGATCAAAAAATACACACAAGCCCCTCGGGACTCCAAACCAAAAGTGCACACCAGTCTAAAAACATCATACGAACTAGATCGCGAGATCAAATCGCAAAAATAACATCTAGAACTACGAATTAGACACCAAATCAAATTAAATTTTTAAAGAAGCTTTGAAATCTTTATTTTTACCACCGGACATCTGAATCACGTCAAACCGACTCTGTTTCCCACCAAATTTCACAGATAAGTCAAAAATATTATATTGGATATGTACCGGGCTCCATAACCAAAATACGGACCCGTTATCAACAATGCCAAACATTCAATCAATTCTTAAAACATTAGATTTTTCAGACTTTTAATTTTCAATAAAAATTTATAACTCAAGCTAGGGACCTCAGAATTCGATTCCGGGCATACCCCAGATTCCATATTACAATACGGACCCACCAAGACCGTTAAAACATGGGTCCGGATCCATTTACTCAAAACGTTGACCGAAATCAACTAAAATTAACTTTTAGGAAAAAATCCTAGTTTTTATCAAAAACAATTTAGCATGTAAGCCTCCCGGGTCAATACTCAAACTGCACACGCAAATCAAGGAAGGCTAGAATGAGGCTTTAAAAGCTTCAAAGCACAGTGTTTTGTTCTAAATCACCAAGCGAAGTGCAGATACTCAAAATGACCAATCGGGTCGTTACATTCTCCACCACTTAAACACACGTTCGTCCTCGAACGTGCCAGGAGTCGTTCCAAAGCTATCAAATCACCGTGTAACCTTACTATGCATAACCTGGGGGTGATCCTACGTCACCCTATTCCACATAAGCCCACCAACACAACACAATTAGAGATCCTTATTTCAACCTTGGTCCTGAAACCTTAGAACGCAATCTCTATCATCCAAAATTCATTGCAAGACCCGAATCCCACATCTATACATTGTATAGGTCTGAACAAGCTATATCAAGTCACAACCATAACCCAAGATGTAATCACATGACATACCCTAGAACTTCGACAGTCACAGTAGGATCTGCTGACCCATTTCTTCCTAAAACAAATCCAAAACAAATCTGGTGCTAGTAGCAAACCTCATATCGATTAGAA